AATGCTTCATTGCTAGATGCATGAAGTATTATTATTGTTTATGACACACTTTTGCTGTTTTCCTTTCTCCCTGTACAAGTTTGTAAAATCTGCTAAATTAGTCTGCCATTGTGGATGATGGGAGTTGTAGTGCCACAAATCTAAAGGTGCTCGTGTTAGAAAGGGCTGATTTAGTGACTCTGAAAAAAAACAAGTCCTAGATTTAATTGTTTATTACTATTACTACCGGTTGAGTAGCCAGACACAAAATGTGCAACCGCTGTGCTGTAGGACAGCCAATTAATGAGCCATCAGAAAAACAGGGGAATAACTAAGACACATGGTGCATACTGGAAGTGGGGCATCAGAATGGAAAATTTATAACCACATGAGCATACACAGAAATCCTGCGGAAGCTGTAAAACCATTCAAGGGATCCTGTCAATCTAAAAGGGAGAAGAAGAAACGGCATTTCGGAAATACCATTTTTAGTAACCAGTTTGATGGAGTAGTGAAAATAAAAGATAGACATTTGTTAATACTGAATGAAAGCAGTGTTGGAAATTAATCATCTCTGTATATTCTCTATTTATAGCACATTTGTTTGTTTATTCACTTTGTTCCAATGAGCGATCACTGGGAAATCAGTTTAAAAACAATCACACACCATTGTAACCCATTGAGGTATGAAATAGCCAAAAGCAGAGTTGGAAAAGTTCCCTTTTTTGGATTACAACTTCCAGAATTCCCCAGCTCTCTGGTTGCCCCCCCCCAAAAAAAAGACTTTTCCTCAGTTGTGTGCAGAAGGCCTCTCTTTTGTGCTTGCCTCAACTCGGAGTAACAAGTTTACCACTAGTAACAATACTGTTGTTGTTATGTGTTGTCGAGGCCCCTCAACTGAAGGTGACCAGCATGAAGGAGCGACCTCCAAAATGGCGTCTTCTCAACAGCCCCTGCTCAGCTCTCCTGAACTCAAGCCTGTGGCTTCCTTTAGGGAGTTGGTCCATCTCACATTTGGTCTTCCTCTTTCCCTGCTACCTTCCACCTTTCCCAACATCATTATCTTTTCCAGGGAAGCCTGTCTTCTCATGATGTGCCCAAAGTAGGACAGCCTCAGTTTCAACCTTTTAGCATCCAGAGATAGTATACTCATAATAATAATAAACTGTCCAGAATAGCCTTGGCTAGATGGCTGTGTACTAACTAATTAACTATCTAACGATCTAACTATCTAACTATCTAACTATCTATCTATCTAAATAAATAAATAAACAAACAAATAAGCAGGCACAAATTAAAATGGAAAAAAAGAAGATGTTTTCCTTATCATTCCTGCTTAAACAAGCCTGAACTATGGAAGAATCTGAGGTACAGCAGATCAAGATAACAGGTGGAGAAATAAACCTGCAGCCCTATGGGCCTTTTTCTACTACATTTTCCTTTGCCTCTCAAACCCAGAGTGAAGGGTGATTTGAATCAAGTGTGTTTGGAATCAGATGTAGACTCGAGATGATTCTTTCGTGTTATGCTTTACTACGTGATACGATAGTAACGCTCCTTTCGAAGGAGTAAAAGAAAAAAAAATGCAGCTTTCCAACCCTTGGGGGCCTCGATCGAGGGGAATCAGGAGGCGGCCTCCCCACCCGCTTCGCTTCCCAAGGGTGTCCTATGGAGAGAGGGGGCCTGCCCTGGATCGGGGATCGGGGGGAGATCGTGCCGGACCGCCTCCCCC